TGCACAGTATATATGATTCTGTTTTCTTCAAGTTTGTATCTTCTTGATCGAATGCACTTATTGTAAGTCGCTTTGGATAAAAGCGTCAGCTAAATTAAATTTAATGTAATATACAAACTAAGTAAATATCAGTTGCACATACATATTCTGCACCTATCAGCAGTAGTGATAATAATAAAAGCAAAACAAAATAAACACAACAAACTATTATTACAGAATAATACAAGTCAAAAGACAAGAGATATCATATATATATATATATATATAAGATAGATGTATCAGGCTTTTGTTTTAAACTGTCTGTGTCAAACATTTATGACGAGAGGAATTTTAAAAGGAAGTAAAACAGGATCTGAGGAGGTGTGCGCCGTGCGCACAAGTTTCAGGTTATTGGCATAGTATATTCACCTTTCAAAAGGACTCTTGATCAGGACACTTAAAAGGCACTTTTTCTCCAGCTATTGTGTTTAGTAGAGTGGAAAATCAGCAATAAAATCCCTAGTTTTGGTGGTTTACTGCAGATTTGTTGTGCAATCATTTTCAAATGTTTCCATCTCTTAAATAAATGAGGCATACATATTTCAAATAGAGATATCAAAAGAGTATACATCGTTGTGACCTATAACTTCTGACAGAGAAGAATGACATACTTTTCAGCCAGTTTTGTACACACAAAGGGCACACATGATTAAATAATCACCTTCTATGAGCATATCAGCTTGTTGAAACATGTCTGACTATGGAATTGTTGTGTAATCCAGCAACACAAAAACAGAGGGATAGACAATATCATAAAGTGTTGGGTATTGTTGATGCTATAGGCAGTCAAGAACTACAAAAAGCATATAAAACATCAATTCAATCAGCAGTGTAGGAAAGAAATAGACAATACAGAATAAAAAGCTCTTAACACTGGCTATCTTACTCAGAGTGACTAAAATAAACGACAAATCCAATCGGGTTAATATCCCCGTCTTACCCTTTGTGAAATTGATTGCTGAGGAAAGCATTTTTGTTTTTAATACCAGTAAAAAGTCACTCCTTTTAGCAGATAGTACAAAACCAGGCCAGCAAGAATCATTACTGTTGGACTCAGCTTTCTCTGCATTTAGCAACTGCTGCGTCAGAGAGCAACTGATTTGCATTATTTTACCTGATGTAGCCAGTGTTAGAGGACACAATAGGCTCATCTATGGAAATAAGCTATATGAAACGTGATTAAGGAAGTACAAATGTGCTGTAAGCAGATCGTGACATTTCTATTTAAACTGCCAAAGACACGATCATTTAGTCCGTTCATTTCTTGCAATGTGAAAAATGCAATCAGTGTGTGAAAACTACTACTACACCAAAATGGTTGCATGTAATGTTGTGATTAATGGTTAGGATTTTGTATTATGTTTAATCATTGTTCTTGAGCACTATTGAGCCACAGTACCTCATCAAAATTCTATAAATATTCAAACAAACCTACAAAGCTGGTGATGAATGCAGGGCCCTAGCAAGGACATCTCAAACATTGTATTTTGCTTGTAAGAAAATAATAGTTTCAACCTAATTCTCAGAGATGTAGAAAACAGTTTAAAAAGGTGGCTGCAAGGAACATTTTTAATGGCCCAAATCCAGTTTGGTGCCAAATACATACCTGTAAACATACTGTTAGTCAGTCTCCTGTTGCCTTTCTAAATGAACAGCTTGAAAGCTCTTTGATACACGCTGGCCTTTTCACATGAATGACTTGCCTGTCCTCGTCAAATGATACACTGGAAACAAAGCAGGGAAGTTGTGTCTCTGTCAATCCTTTTAACGTTCAGTTCAATATTTCAGTATTTGGGTTTCTTTGATGTTGCAGCATCAGTCGTAGAAGAGGGGCCACCAGTCATCAAGAAAGAATGGTGGATCTGATCTGTCCTTTTTTTTACTAAATTCAACAAACTGCACTGTAAGCGTGCTGCAGAAGAATGCTGGTGGAAGCTCAAGCGTATCACTGGCCACAATGCCATGTTTGACCTGGATAAGAACAGCAGAGTTATTATTGTTGTGATCATTTATCCACCAAATGGTGTGAGGTTAAGGTACCCTGTGGCGTTTTGACCAATAGCAGCACTACAGAGCATTTTTGCTTGACGTGGGTACATTAAGATAACCAACAAATTGCAAATAAAAGGCAGCAAATATGAAGTCAGTTTTAAAAAATGATATTGAAATTAAAGGAAGATACTTTAGTAGACTTAAATCCTCTACTACAATTTCGTAATCGCACACAAATACTGAATATTTCCTTCTGAACACTTACCTCGGAGATAATGGAGAGTTATCCAAATTACACAGCGATGTTGTAGCCATGTTTTGCTGCCTGTTGTTTCCTATTAGACAAAAAAAAAAAAGAGTAAGTCTTGCTTATGATGTAAAGTAAACACACTGTTATAGCACATACAACAAATTCACTTGGGGTGTTTTGAAAAGCTAAAATAATTGTTGCCAAGTTGCGACACATGCAACAAAAATATCCTGCTTTTCAGTGTACTTACAGTGGGGACAAAACTTGCCTATCAAACATTGGGCAAGACTGACATTCTTAAGAATCTATGGTAAGGTATGGTCACTCACTGTTTATTTAGTCACCTACTCTTAGTCTGCTCAGCTAATGTAACCACCAATGATCATGTTTATTATCCTATTCATCAGAATACTTTATTTATCCTGGGGGAAACTGGTGAAATCCAAGATACATCTTTCTCTTGAGTTAACATATTTTTGGGATATTTTGATACACTTCAAAAGTAATATAAGAGGATCAAAATCAATTTCATGTCTTTTATATGGTGATGGTGGAATAAAGATGTAGTTAGCTTGATATAGCTCAAAGATGAAATTGAGAGAGAGCAAGCGCATTTCGTGGCATCTGCAGGCAGTGGCAAGTACTTCCGGCATCTGCCACAGATGCCACTACTTGCCGAGGCATCTGCAACCGCAGAACGGGAGTTGCAACAAGATGCCGGGCCCCGGGGTAAGAGAAGGTTTACGGTAGCTGCCACTCGCCTTCTGTGGCAAATGCTGCTGTTTAAACCTGTATTTATTGTGTAAAATGTCGCTGTTTAGGCATGACTTTATCGAACTGATCTGTACACAGAATTGCATGATGTCCGATCTTTATTTTTCAGAATGATTACAAATGATAATTTCTATTCGATTTTACTTGCAGAACGTAGTTTGTTAAAATAAATAAACGTGCTATTTTTATGATAATACTCAAGATAGCCTATATTATAAGTAAATAAAGACAACTTATTGACATTAAGATCTATCATTATTGACCAGAGGTGGGAAGTAGGCTAACTAAGTACATATACTCAAGTACTGTAGAATCTGTGCCCTCTTGCATCTCCACATCTTCTGCATTGTGTTTGTTTATCCTGCGGTGCTCTTTTCTCCTTGTGTAGTTTAACGTGCTTCGGACGTGCGCCAAACTGTTGCCGCGCGTGCACGCTTTCGAGCTGTGTGCTGGCGATCTCTGTCCTGAAATTAACTTTGAGCATTTATTGTTGCTTCTTTACCAGCTGACTTTGTCTAGCTTTATTTATTGCTCTCTCTAGCGTCAGTTCAGGATCCATTTGTAATTGTTCTGATAGTCTTTTATCTTTCAAACCGACCACAATTCTGTCCCTCACCATTTCATCATGAAGAGCGCCATATCCACAGTGCTCCGCCAGGCAATGCAGCGCTGTATGGAAGCTGTCAGCCGACTCGCCCAGCTCCTGCTGTCTCTGATTAAACTTTGCCCTCTCAAAAAAAATTATGTTTCTACGAGCCACAAAGCCGTTTGGTCAATTAGGGTCTTTGGCCAAGTGAGGTGGTTCTGTCGCCCCCCCCCCCCCCCCCCCCCCCCCCCGCCCCCCCCCCCCCCCCCCCCCCCCCCCCCCCCCCCCCCCCCCCCCCCCCCCCCCCCCCCCCCCCCCCCCCCCGCCCCGCCCCCCCGCCCCCCCCCCCCCCCCCCCCCCCCCCCCCCCCCCCCCCCCCCCCCCCCCCCCCCCCCCCCCCCCCCCCCGCCCCCCCCCCCCCCCCCCCCCCCCCCGCCCCCCCCCCCGCCCCCCCCCGCCCCCCCCCCCCCCCCCCCCCCCCCCCCACCCCCCCCCCCCCCCCCCCCCCCCCCCCCCCCCCCCCCCCCCCCCCCCCCCCCCCCCCCCCCCCCCCCCCCCCCCCCCCCCCCCCCCCCCCCCCCCCCCCCCCCCCCCCCCCCCCCCCCCCCCCCCCCCCCCCCCCCCACCCCCCCCCCCCCCCCCACCCCCCCCCCCCCCGCCCCCCCCCCCCCCCGGACCAGAGGTACCAGAGAGGAGTGTGGTGTCGAGGTAAAGAGCGGATACCGGGCAATAAAAGACAGATTAGGAACCGACGAAGACCAGAGAACTGCGGATCGTTCGAGGTTATTAATATTAATCATGACGTAGCTTATATAAAAAGTTGAGAGACACAGTTTTGATCGTAAACACTAGGGTACAAATAAGTATGCAATCTGGCGGCGAGAGGGGTACCCATTTTCAGTGGTGCGCCCCCAGTGCAACCCTCCGAAAAAAATACCGCCTTCAATTTTTACAGGGAAAGTTTTTGGCTGGGGGTCTTCACAGTGACATCCTATAGAGGACATATAAAAAAACTTTTAGATCACATATTGTAGTAAAGATGTGTAAATAAATAGTGACCACACAGATTGGAGTTCAACGGAGAAATTCGGGTCTCCTTTCGCTCACTATACCCGTCAATTGATCTTCTGACCTNAAAAAAAAAGAACCTGCACTTACATACTAACAAAGCACTTATATACTAACAAAGCACTGGCTTATCTAAAGCCTGTTGAGTAGCACTTGAAATGGTTTGCCAAACCATTTCAAGTGCTACTCAACAGGCTTTAGATAAGCCAGTGCTTTGTTAGTATATAAGTGCTTTGTTAGTATGTAAGTGCAGGTTCTTTTTTTTTCATTTTATTGCTCGAAGTGGAGTCGAATGAGATGAGTTTTCGGTCTGCGCCAGAAGATGTGTAAGCTTTCTGCTGTCCTGATGTCAATGGGGATCATATTGGCTCTGTAGCTATGCAAGCTGATCTGTGGTTAACTGATTTATGACTCAGTACCCCTAATTAAAAATGTCACTGGCATGTACGTATATCATATCTTTACTGCACATACACTTTTTGTTCTGTATGTATTTTGCTGTATGTTCACCAACTTTCAAATAAAATGTACAAAACTCACAACATATCAATGTTTTATTTAAAATATCAAAGATTTGTTAAAAGGGTCCNCTGCAGCACCTCTTTTCACCCTCTGTCTTAAACCAGAGCCCAGTCTGCTCTGATTGGTTAGCTGGCCGGCTCTGTTGTGATTGGTCAACTGCTTAGAGAGGTCCCACCCCTTAAGATATCACGTATAATGTGTTGGAGTGCTATCCAATACAAGCGCGAGTGTGACGTCATTATGTTACAGAAGTAAACAAAGTCGACCTGTTTTTGACTTAACCCTGGCCAATTAAATCTAATTAAATCAAACGACACTTCTTATTTCTGAAGTTAACACTACATTTCAAACAGATTCTTGCAGGACTGAATTTGAACTTATTGTAATTATAATTGATCACTTTGGATAAAGTGGTCAAATGAAGAGGAAAAGTTATAATCTTGCTATGAAGTTAAAGATACAACTATTTTATTATGACAAATGATGTGCAGCAATAGCTAGTAGTTTATTTCAACACTTTGTTTCAGCTTGACAGACTCTAAGTATCTTTGAAATCCTTACGAAACTTTTAGGGTTTCAATGTGTTTTACCACTGACTACAGACAGCCAGTCTGTTCTGTGTACATCAAAACATGCACCGCTGCCTCTCGGCACTCTTTCTGGGATCTTGTAACATGATTGTATCAGCCTCAGTGTTTACTAAACTTAACTGGACCAGGAAGGACTGATCTGTTATCATGCACTTCAGTCTTTGTTATCAGATATAATATGTGTATGTGATGTGATGGAACAGGAAGGATCTGCCATGAGGGTGACACTATGTCAACACCTGTGTTCATATTAATGAGAAAACTTTGCATGTTTGTTTTTCAGGAGGGGCAACCTCAAGTAGCATTTTAAGCTGGTGCTGTATCATTAAAGGGGAACTGATTACATGCACATGTTAGGTTTAATATCCTGTGATGTCTGTGAAAAGTCATGTTATCTGTGACTGTGGAGGAGCTTTCTGAAGTCTTATACAATTTTATTTTTTTTAAAAATTAAAAATTAATAATTGAAGGTCACCCAATTGTTCCTTTCAGAATACTTCTTAGCAATTGTTTTTGAGCAAGTACCTACATACTTTGGCTATAGGTAAGGTTTGTTTTTAACCTATAGCGGCCCCTACTGGACGGTTAAGGGGAATGAGGAGTCAGCAGTCTATGACAACGTAAAGCAGTCAATAACAAAGGTTTTTCAAAGACCCTCAATCACCACAACTACAGGAAGGTCCTTAAGCTTACAAGCTTATTATGTGCAAACAATAAATAGCCTGAGGTCACCTTGATGATGATACTGGAGGTATTTTGGCTTTGTTTTAGAGAGTACAACCTTTGTGCCATGCCTTACGATGTGACATGTGGCCATTTAAGTTTGAGTGTAATGTAAAGCTGGATTTGGTTACAAAGTTGTAAATATGGGAATGAGCATTGTGAAACTGGACCCATACTAGAAAGTTAAGTCATGATCTTTAAATTCTTGTATTTGAGTCTCCTTCATGGAAGTTTAGAGCTATTATAAAACTTTTTAAAAAAAAAGCTCTTCAGCATCTCAGGAGAATGAGGCTATAAATAAAGACTGACGCCCTAAACACCATCTCTCTGCTGTATGAACTGTTAGTATCTGTATGGCACTGTCAGTGACTTGTCCCAGTGTGTGAGCCTCAGACAGAATACTGCTAAACTTTGCATTAAAAAAAGTGACTTACTCTATATCTAACTGGTGCATTCAACAGGTCCGGCTGGGAGTCTGCATCATGATTACTTGGGAGGCCATTTTAACAGCAAAAGACTGAACGGCCAGGAGAGAGGCAATTGTTCACTACAGTGTGGCCTTGTGCAAATCCAGTTTAAACAAGAAATGCTGTTAGACAAGATGTTGAAAGAAACAAACCTCTCCGACCGGTTGTGTGTATGAAGAAAAAAAAGTATCTGTATAACATGTAGCCTTTCTGAATGTGTGTTTAAATTGTGGCTTCATGTAATAGAAATTGCAGGCCAAACTATGACAACAAATTAACCTCACCTTTATAACCACAGCTATTCCCCTTATATATTTTAAAAACGTCTTTGTTTTCTCCAAATGCAATCTGAACACTTGTAATGTAACAATAAGTTGATACT